TCAATGGAAGAGAGAGCTGCACTATTCTTTAACATTATTTACAACTGCCAGGATATAAAAAGGAAAACAATTTAAAGAAGAAAATGTAAAATTACCTAACAAATCAGATTTTACTTTGTAAAACAATACTTCTGTAATGCAGGACACTTGAGTTTCAGCCAATTTTGCCACTCTTAATTGTACTATCCAAAACAAATTATTTCACCTCTGGGCCTGTTTCCTCATCTTTAGAATGGGGTGATTAGAGTGTATGAATTCCTGACTTTAAGACTTTTTTTCTCCACGTTTTTATATAAAATGAGACTGCAATCCATGATCAATAGCATTATAGATTTGATGAAATACAGTATAAGAATATCTAGCTCTATTACTATGCAGTTCCACAAAATTATAAAAGTTAAACACTATTTTTCGGAAGTAAGCACCAAGCAATGAAGGAAAAATATTTATAACTACTATCTGCCAGGCAGATAATCTCATGTTATATTCACAATATTTCTAGTATCACTGTACCCAGTTTTAAATAATAGATGAAGAAACAGACAGTGAGACGTGATTAAATTGCCAAAGGTCAAGTAAGTAGCAGAACTAGCATTTGAATTCCCATCTCTCTAATGTCAAAGCACGTGCTGCCCAAACTATTCCAAATTGCCTCTTAATTGTGCAGGTAGGATTCCTGCAGAGAACTTTGAAAGGCTTAGCCATAATTCTTTAAGCCATGGAAAGAAACTTACCTTTAGCAAACATCTTCTAGCTCCCTTTAGGCCAAAAGATGCAGATATTTAAACATTATACTATGCTTTTATATTTTTTCATATAAACATGGAAATCACTCTTAAAAACTGCTAAGTGAAATTATTGTACATCTCTTTAATATATAAAAAAAGCATAATTTTTTTTTATTTAAACTGAAAACAAACAAAAAACCAATTCACCCATTTCTCTCCCTCCCTCCACACCCCCATTTCTGGCAACTACCAATCTGTTCTCAGTATCTATGAGCTTGGTTTTATTTATTAGATTCCACATGTAAGAGAGATTATACAGTATTTGTTTTTCTCTGTCTGACTTATTTTACTTAGCATAATGCCCTCAAGGTCCATCCATGTTGTCACAAATGGCAAAATGTCATTCTTTTTGCTGAGGAAGATTTACCCTGAGCTAACATCCACTGCCAATCTTCCTCTTTTTGTATGTAAGCCGCTACCACAGCATGGCCACTGACAGATGAGTGGTGTAGGTCCACACCCAGGAACCGAACCCAGGCCACTGGAGTGCACCAAACTTAATCACTAGGCCACCAGGGCTGGCCTCATTCTTTTTTATGGCTGAATAATATTCCTTTCTTTATCCGTTTATCCATGGATGGACACAGGTTGTTTCCATGTCTGGGTTATTGTAAATAATGCTGCAGTGAACATGGGAGTACATAACTATCTTTTCAAGTTAGTGTTTTCATTTTCTTTGGATAAACACCCAGAAGTGGAATTGCTGGATTCTATGGTAGTTCTCTATTTTTAAATTTTTGAGGAACCTCCATACTGTTTTCCATAGTGTACCAATTTACATTGCCAACAACAGTACACAAGGGTTCCATTTTCTCCACATCCTTGCCAACACTTAATTCTAGTTGTTTTGGTAATAGCCATACTAACAGGTATGAGGTGATAATTCATTGTGGTTTTGATTTGTACTTCCCTAATAACTGATGATGTTGAGCATCTTTTCATGTACCTGTTGGCTATCTGTATGTCTTCTTTGGAAAAATGTCTATTCAGATCTTCTGTGCATTTTTTAATTGGATTGGGTTTTTTGCTATTGAGTTGTATGAGTTTTTTATATATTTTGGATATTAGCCCCTTAACAGACACATGATTTACACATATTTTCTCCCATTCAGTAGGTTCTTTTCGTTTTGTTGGTGGTTTCCTTGGCTGTGCAGAAGCTTTTTAGTTTGATGTAGTTCCACTTGTTTATTTTTGCTTTTGCTTTTGGTGTCAGATTAAAAATATCATTGCCAAGACCTATGTCAAAGAGGTTATTGCCTATGTTTTCTCCTGTGAGTCTTATGGTTCCAAGTCTTATGTTCAAGTCTTTAATCCGTTTTGAGTTCATTTTTGTGTATGGTGTAACATAATGACCCAGTTTCATTCTTTTCATGTGGCTGTCCAATTTTCCCAACATCATGTATTGAAGAGACTGTCCTTTCCCCAGTGTGTATTCTTGGCTCCTTTGTTGTGAATTAATTGACCATATATGTGTGGGTTTATTTCTGGGCTCTCTTTTTTGTTCCATTGATTTATGTGTCTGTTTTTATGCCACTACAGTACTGTTTTAATTACTGTAGCTTTGTAATATAATTTGAAATCAGGGAGCATGATGCTTCCAGCTTTCTTATTCTTTCTCAAGACTACTTTGGCCATAAATTTAAATTCTCTGATTTGCTCACCCAGAGGGTGTGATTTAAAAAATCTGGGTTTACCAAGATTTTCCATTTGTCCTCCAACACAGCCTTGGCTTGATAATAAGCACACAGTATTTGGACGAGTGACTAAAGGAATGGAAGTTGTACAAAGGATCTCCAACGTCAAAGTCAATCCCAAAACAGATAAGCCGTATGAGGATGTCAGCATCATAAATATTACTGTCAAGTAAAAGAAGGTTTCATTGTCTATGTAAATAAAAATACATATATATTAAACACAGGATTATTTTATATTAGGAATCTCTTAAGACTTGCTGAACGTACAAATCATGTTTCAAGGATATAGTATTATATTTTTATATTTTTCATTAAAGACCACTTTTTAAAACTCTGCTTTTGACTTTTCTTGCAATATTTCTCATCCTAGGAGGTGATAAATTGAAACGGACTAAACTTGGGCAAATAGCAATCCTTATATGTAATTTCTCATGAGACTCAAAACCATATTAAAAAATGAGAGTTGTATGCATTTGTTCCTTAGCTTTTGAAAAACATGCCCTTACATGTTTTTTAAGATCTACTAAGAAGGAGTACCAGGCTCTGACAGCATGTACCATTTCCTTTCTTTTACAAGGTTTATGTTTCATGCCAAATGGTTTCGTATTTTGATCATTGTTAAGTAGTGGTAAATAAAACTTCAATAAATAAAGTGTTAAATTCCTTAATAAGTAGGAAAGATTCATTCAAATATAAGAATCAGAATAAATGAACACCTGAGTCCTTGGTTCTATATACAGATTCATTAACTATTTTCACATTCTTTTTCTAATGCAGCTAAACAGATTTTCTGTCCTTAAGTTATAATACATCTTTCCTTACCTTACTAAATATACTATCAGGAGGGGCCAGCCCCGTGGCCGAGTGTTTAAGTTCATGCACTCCGCTTTGGCGGCCCAGGGTTTCACTGGTTCAGATCCTGGGCATGGACATGGCACCACTTATAGGCCTGCTGAGGCGGCATCCCACATAGCAGAGCCAGAAGGACCTACAACTAGAATATACAACTATGTACTGGGGGGGCTTTGGGGAGAAGAAGAAAAAGCAAGATTGGCAACAGATGTTAGCTCAGGTGCCAATCTTGAAAAAAAATTTTTAGAAATACTATCATCAGGAAAGTATATATTTAGTAGAATTTTTAAAATCTAATAATGGAGAGATTAGTAGAAATTGGAGTAATAAAACAATATGAGTCCAGAGTCTTGTATTGATTCCATTTCTTCATTTCCCTCATAACTTACTTCATAACTATGAAGAACAACTGCTTCTAGTTTCCAGACAGACTCTCCAAGAACTTATAGGAAGAACATGTTCAACAGACCTGTTTAGGGAATTCACATACTTAAGCTTTAAATCACAGCTTATACTTTTCCTTCTGTTGATCAGCAAGATTATTTCCTTTATTCATTTTGTACCACAAACTTTTGTGTGATGGAAGAATATGCCAAATTGTGCTACTTTAAACTAATATTGTGTCCTCCTTTAAGTCGAACTTAGAGTTGGATAAAATGCCTTTTCACTGTGACATTTACCTTTTCTCCCTAATTTTAGGTGTTTAGATTTATCTGCCTAGCTACTTATTCATTCCTAAAAGCTTAATCCTAAAGTTTTGGTAATACTGCCACCAAGTGGTGGTGATGCCTCATTCCCTCCCAAAATAGAATTATTTTGCTTTGAGCGAAAATCGTATTAATGGATTTTCCATTCGATGTCACAAATTTGACAATTGGTAGACCTAAAAACATACATTGCCAGATTTTTTTTTAAAGCATGTTTTAAATTACTAGCAGGGGCCAGCCCCATGGCCTAGTGGTTAAGCTCAGCATGGTCTGCTTCCCTGGCACAGGGTCATAGGTTCGGATCCCAGGTGCGGACCTACACAACTTGTCAGCCATGCTGTGGCAGTGACCCACATATAAAATAGAGGAAGACTGGCACAGATGTTAGCTCAGGGCTAATCTTCCTTAGCAAAAAATAAATAAAACTAAATTACTAGCAAGATAACCATCTGATACTTAGTCATTAGTCCTTTTGATTCATTATTCTTTTAGGGAAAAGTACAGCTGTCTTCCCTATTACCACTCTGCAAACTGCGAAATATCTCAATGTTATATGAAAAGTCTTTTTCTTAGCAACACTAGTTTATACGTTACACCTAAGTTTTCCAAGACATTTTCTAAAACAGTCATTTAAAATGCTATATTTTCAAATGAAACAAGGTTATATTTAAAATTTTTAAAGCCGTAGTTTCACTTTGTTAAACACAGAATTTTAGCTCTCCTTTCAAAACACTACAGTTACAATATTCATTTAAATGTGACATTGCAAATACAGAATAAGTTATTTCTAAATCTTAAAAAACTACCTCTCAAATTTGACATTTAAGTCAGTCCTCACCTACTTTGTTTTATTGTCTCTCTCAACCACAGCACAAATATGACTTTTTTAATTGGTTACTAGCAATACTACTACATAGACAGTTCAAGAAACAGAATTTTTAGAATGATGATAAGACTTCTTTAACATGATTTTAACATTTTATTGCTGTCTATAGTGATCATATATGTAATGCAAATAATGGCTTCTGGTGATTGTAAAGCATTCCGGAATTACAGACCAGGGCTATACACTTGAAAAACCTGCTTTACATAAACCATACAATAATATTTAGGCTTAATACAGAAATTCAGAGCTAAGGGGCAAATCCTAATAGAGTGTATTTAAAATATCTCTCATTCTTAAAACTGATATTTCCCAGAGGGAACTAGCACAGTCTTGACTAATAATTAGTGAAGGAATACAACCACAAATAGTAATAAGAGCCTCAGAAAAATATTTCTTAAAAAAAAATCACAAACACTACTATTAAATACATTATAATCAAATCTAAGCACAATTTTTAAATTGTGTTTAGTAATATGCTGAGAATGGGAATTACAAAGGTTAGCAAAGTTGGTCAAATAAACTTGATAATTTACAAAGAAATTAAGTTTACATGTTAGTGTTAGACTTTTTCTTTTCTATACCTAGTAGAGAAAACAGCTCAAGGGCTCACAGGCAAATGTAACACCTTTTTATTTTTCACAGTTATTGCAATCAAATATTAAATAATTTAATTCAGAAGTATTATACCCACAAACTACACTTGTAACAGCATGAACTTTTACTTGAAAAATAAAGGACGAAATATTATATTTACTTATTTACACATTGCCCATAACACTGATGGGCTTTTTTTTTAATGCTTTGTTTTCTAAAACTTTTGTTGTTTTTAACAAAAGTACATTTGAAGAGACTGAACCAAAACAGTGCCACCTAAAAGTCACATCTTATCATCAGACATCAGTGTTCTCATAGAAGTTCAACTAGTAAAGTTTAGGATTGAACTTCATCCTAAAGTATAAAGAGCATTAAAAAAAACACCAAAATTCAATCTAGCTATATTTAAATACAATAAATCGTACTGCCATAACAGAGTGTCCTTAAAAAATGAAAAACAGTAAAGAGCACAAAATCTTTAAACTTTTACAACACTGCATAATAAACGTGATGTAAACTTTTTGAACGTTTCTTCCTCAGACACATTCTTACTCTCAACTTTTCAAGGCCTTGTCACAGAGAGCCTTGTTCACGTTTTATTGTCAAGATAAATGCACTTATTTTGGGAAATCATTTTAAAGTAATTGATGTAATAAGCATTCTCACTGTTTAAATGATTTCTCTTAAGGTAAAGGTAGTTTTCTACCTAAATCTCTATCTTTACTGAAAAGCCAACTGTGGTTCTATGTGTAACTTACTACATTTTACCTATGGTCATTCCCACTAAGGATGCGATATTATTTTTAAAAGAAACACTACTAAGTACTTTAAATATGTTGAAAAACAGAAGGACCAACTCAGAGCTCTGACCTAACAAATAATACATCCAGGTTCAGCCCTGCAAATGGGTCTTTCGTAAGTGAAGATCAACTAGAACATAACCGACTTTCACAGTTTCATTATTAATTGTTCTTCAGTTTAGTACTAATCTGACAATCAGGCCTAGTTAACATTTCATTTTGACTCACTGGGTTTTATACAAAATGCTTGAGGAGAAAGTTTTAATAAAACAATGTATAAAATATTAATTTTCTATAGTTTATAGTTCTTAGCATAAAAGGTGTTCTGTTATACTGAAAATAAAAGTAAACTAATCCTATTACCCAAAGATGCAGTTTGGATTCTATTTCCTTAAGTCACTGCCGTGTTTTCTACTAAGAACTGCCACCATTCAGTGAGAAGGCAAGTTAACGCAGCAGCTGCGCTTCACCTGCGTCCATTAGGCATTCGCTGGCTACTCGTTTTTCACTGAGAATAAACCTTCACGTACCCTTTCTCTGTGACTACTTGTTTCCCAATAAGTGGATCACATATAATCTCAAAAACTTAAATAGCAAATGTACATTTAAAAAAATTTATACTCAAGAAATCCCTATTTAATCCAATCTAATCTGCTCAGATACTTAAATTTCGCTACAGGATAATTTTTTTAAAAGCAGTATTGTACTGAATTACCAATCCAAGACTCCTTCTATGTACACATCCTAAATTAAACTATCTTTGAGATGTAGAATTTCTTACAACATATGTGCAAAATAACTTTTAACCACAAAACTTTAGACAATTGCTGCATTTAAAATCAAGCAACATCCAGTACTCCAGCAGCCACGAGTTGCCGTGAGAGCCAGTCCAACCCTTCGTACAGTCCCATACCACTTCGAGCATCACAGCCCTGAATATACCAGCTACGACCACAGCACAGCTTATGGAGACTGAGAAGTTCAGTGATTTCTTCTACTGACAGAGCTCCAGCAACATCCTGAAAGATATAGACACATCAATTTTTTTTAGTCAGTCCATCAAAATTATAATTTTTCTAATTATTACTATTTACATAGAATTCGGTTTGTACCACTCTAACAAGCCTAAAGCTAAAACCTAGAATCATCTTTCAGTTAATTATTCTGAGATTAATAAGAATAGAACAAAATAGAGTTTGGGTTAAAATCATTTATTTATTCATAATATATATAGTTTGTAGGAATAGCCTCACAATGAAATCAGTAAAAGCCATGCAGCTTGAATAAAAGATACTGCCTGAGTCATTTATAAGGCATCAACTTAAAAATTAACATGGGTATATCATAAAAATGGCTTATATGCAGGATTTATATAATGAAGAGTTTATTAAACTCTCACACCCCTACTTCCCAGAAAGCAACCACCACTAACAATTTCTTTAATATTTTTCCAGAAAATTTCCATGCACATTCATGCAAATAAACACAAAATGGAACATATTCTAGTTTTTTGTTTCTCACTTAACACACATCTTGAAGATAGATATGTTTCTATTATCAGGACAAGCTTATTTTCTGCATTATTTTTAATGTCTGAATTGCATTCCACTGTGTAGGTGCAACAATTTTCTTAACCAGTCCTATACTAAATATTTAGATTGAAGTTGTGTGCTCATGTACACAAATACATACATATACATCCATATTTTTACATACATACATTTGCAAAATTATCTGTAGGATAACCTTAAGACATTTGTCTGCAGCATACATTACTAGAGGCAGAATTGCAGGGTAAAAGGGTATATGCATCTAAAACTTTGACAGGTACTGCCAAATTGCCCTCCAAGAAAAACGTCTCTGTTTAATAACCATACCCACAGTGTGCATCTGAGGATTATCAAACACTTTTGTCTTTAATGATATGATAGGTGGAAAACGCTATTTCATTTTGTCTTATTTGCATGTCTTTAATCATAAGAAAGGTGTATCAGCTTGTAATAGTTTGCCCTTTTTTTTTCTTTTCAGGGAAAATCCTTTATTCTTCATCCAACTCCTCCTTCTTATTACATCTAAGCCCCCCTATTGCACTTAAAAGCATTCTCATCCTCCTAGAAGCTTAGGCTCAAGATCTAGGAATCTTCAGCTAACTCCCGGTCCTTCATCCTCCCCATTCGGTCACCAAATTCTAACAATTCTACCTCCATAAAGTCTGCTTCCAGCCTTCTCTTCCTCTGATTCAGGATCTTAACTCTCTCACTTGAATTATTGCAGCAATTTCCTGCATCTCCCCATCTCTAGTCCCTTGCCCCTGATTCATTCTACATTCTACTCCCAGGATTAGTCTTAAAACACTGATATGAGCTTATCACCAACTAGTCCAAAAACCTTTCAATGGTTCCCCTTTGCTCACAGAATAAAACCTAAATTTCTCAGTCTGGCCTTGTCAGGCCTTCAAAGTATAGTCTCATCTATTGTTCTAGATTTTCTTCATCCTCTGCCTGTCCCTCACATATAGATCTCCTTGATGCTCCCTAAAAATACTCATGCTTTTCTATTCTCTGCCTGCAATGTTCTTTCCCTCACATATTGACTCAGTCTTATCCATAATTTCAAATCATAATTTCAATTCAAATCCTATTTTTTACAAATCTTACAAAATGCCACCTTTAGAATTACTCTCTAATTTCCCATAACACTTTGTTAATATTATTGAAGTTAATTACCAGGGGTTTTTTTTTATTAGAATCTCATATATATTTACTTACATGTTTACTTACATACACAGAAGTTTCTGGTGACCATCAACTACCTTATTTCTTTTTGTGGACTCCATCAGCTAGCTTATTACTTTTGTATGCTCCTAGGTACTGAGCAAAGCACTTTCCACACAAATTGTACTCAAAATACAAAGCAGAAATTTCTTAAATATCTATTGAGTTATCTCTCTTTTGAAATATTTCCAGCTACCTCATGACGTGGAATGCACAAAACTGCTAAAATAAATATTCTGAAATACAAACGTGTTACCTGTTTGTTAGCAAAAATCAGGAGCAAAGCATCTCGGAGTTCTTTTTCTGTTAACAACTTTGCAAGTTCACTGTGTGCTTCGCTAACTCTGTCTCTGTGACTGCTATCAACAACAAATACAACAGCTACCAAAGAAGATGACAAAAATATTCAATTAGTCACTTGTTAAGTTTTAGTAAACGGACCAAATATTTTAATGCTCTCATTATTATACATGAGTAGTTAACCTACCATCACTATTTTTACAGAAAAGCTGCCTATTATTATAGAAGTACCTAGCAATAATCAACAGTAGGATCTCAAGTAGTTCACATAACTTTTCAGCTTTCATTTCCCCACCTATAACAGGATTTGCAACACTTGCTCTACCAAACACAACTGCTATGTATATCAATTAATATTTTTCTCTGAATGAATGAAAATGTACCTCTTATGATCTACCTGCTGCTACTACTTGTTCTTTGGTAACTACTTCCTTTACCAAAAGACAGTCTTTTAAAAATAAGTAAGTCACCATCTTTCTCTCTCCAAAGTATTCTCTCCAGGTGTCTAGCAAACACTTTCCACATAGACTGCACTCAAACTACACAGCAGAAACTTCATAAATATCTATCCTGTGGATTCTCTTTTGAACTCTTTCCAGCTACCTTAGAGTAGCTACATATCCCCAGACTTTCAGCCATTCCTCATGTTTCAAATTCGATTTTTTCCCCATTAACCACTGGCTTATACTAAAATCCCAAAGTAAAAATAATTATCTAGTCTCTCTTCTAGGTAGAAAGTAGAATGACATATGGAACAGGCAGCATAACCATAAGCCGCATGTTGAGTCTAGGAGGCCAAAGCATAGAATGGGACTCAACTGTGAATAATGTGCTAGGTGGAATGGATGACGTGACACAGTTTGGTCAAAAGCAAGCCACTGTAGGTTCTTCTGCAGATAATAGCTAATTATGAATGGAAATGAGGAATGGAGCTATTGAGAGATTATAGTAGGATAAATGTTCATTTCAATTGAATAGAGCAGCAGAACCATATGCCACAAATTCTACTTATTCCATGTCACAATATTGCCAGCAATCATAAGATGTCATTTTTTACTCTTACCTTGGGTATTGAGGTAATAATGTTTCCACAATGGTCTTAATTTGTGTTTTCCACCTACATCCCAAATAGTGAACTTAAGATTTTTATATTCTACAGTTTCCACATTAAAACCTGTTTTTAAAAAAAGTTACTTTAATACTGAACTTATATTTACGAGTGACACACCAAACACAGGCTACCCCCTGTTTATAACTGTGACTTACAAATTATCTACATACAGCAATATCTACTGCTGTCCAACCAGCTCCACTCCTAATAAAACTACATGCAGAATGCATACCTTTAACAGCCATTAGCCCTCTAAACCTCCACCAAGGTCCTTAGGACCTTGAAACCCAAGTGCCTGCCAGCTCTGCACGACTAGCACCCCCTCACCCCTACCCCTCAGCCAGAGTCACCAATCCTTTATTCCTTCCAACTCTCCCACCAATATTCTGCTCCTTCCCACTGTCCCGCCATCCACATTTCAATCCCGCAGCCACTGAATCTTGCGTTTTTTCTCTGAAATGCTGGTGTCTTACAGCCAAAAAAGAGCCCACCACCATACCAGATTGGCATAAAATAAGACCCTGAAAACTCAGCTTAAGCTAGGGTTGTCTATAAAATGTCCATTAAAGTAAAAAGCAATACTCATACTTACCAATTGTTGGAATAGGCTGCATGAACTCATCCTGTTTTAACTTAAACAAAATAGTAGTTTTCCCAGCACCATCTAATCCTAACGTAACAACTCGAATTTCCATTTTTGGTCCAATGTGAACTCTATTGTCCTATAATTAAAAAATTTTTAAATATTTTTATTTGATATAGAATTAGAAAGTATTATTATTTATGCTTTAATATAAAATACCTCTGTTAATTATTTCCTCATCTCTTACTCATTCCTCAACCCGGAGTTGAAATCTGAGTTGTATTCCCAAGATACCATGAATAACATCTTCTCAGAGAGATGAATCACTCCTCATTGCTACATCTCTCCTCAAGAAAACTGGCTAGAGGCCAGCCCCGTGGCCAAGTGGTTAAGTTTGCACACTCCCCTTTGGCAGCCCAGGGTTTCACCGGTTCAGATCTGGACACAGACCTAGCACCACTCATCAAGCCATGCTGAGGCAGCATGCCACATAGCAGAACTAGAAGTGCCTACAACTAGAATACACAACTACGTACTGGGGAGCTTTGGGGAGAAGAAGAAGAAAAAAAAGGACTGGCAACAGATGTTAGCTCAGGTGCCAATCTTTAAAAAAAAAAAAGAAATATAACTGACTACTTTGTTTTTATATAAATTAATAAATGCAGGGGCCAGCCCCATGCCTAGTGGTTAAGTTCGGCGTGCTCCACTTTGGCAGCCCAGGTTCGGTTCCCAGGCACAGACCTACACCACCTGTCAGCGGCCATGCTGTGGTGGCAACCCACATACAAAACAGAAGAAGTCTGGCACAGATGTTAGCTCAGGGTGAATCCTCCTCAGAAAAAAAAAAAATTGCATACACACACCCTTAATTTTTCCAGATTTTCTAGCTCAAGTGAATCATCAATATATTAATTAAAAATGAAAACTGATCATTTCCCACAAATATCCACTGTTAACAATTTCATAAACCACCCATTTTCCTAAGCACACATTGGTTTATATATACACACAAAAATATATATATATTTTTTAAAACTAATAAATTTAAAAGAACATACATACTGCAAAATAACTTTTTACACTCAACAGTATATTATGGAATCCTTTCATTTCAAAACATACAGACCTACCTTTTTCTTTCAATTGTTTCATTATATTCCATGAACCACAATTTAACCAATCCCCAACTGATAGATATTAGGTCATCCCTAATTTTCGACATTATAAATAATGCTGCAATGAACATACTTGTATATATTACTAGCTGCATGAGCTCTCTGCCTCACTTCTTTCATCTATAAAATGAGGATAAAAATAGTACCAAACTTACACAGGATTTTTGCAAGGATTCATTTTCAAAAATACATGTAAAAGTAATTATAACAGCTCCTGGCACTGGCATATGATGAGTGCTACATGAGTGTCAGCAATTATTATTTTGCTTTCTCATTTGAGCATTCTTTTCTTGGCTTTTATGATACAAATTTTTTAGGTTTCATCCCACCTTTTTGGATGCTCACTCTCATTTTCCTTTTATCCACTTCTTCAATGCTGGTATTCTTAAGAGTCATTATGAGGCCTGTTTCTCATTCTATACTTTCTCATTTACTCCATACACGTCAATTACCGTCTATATAACAATGGCTCCCAAATCTACACTTCAGTCCAGTCCAAAACCTCAGAAATAAAACAATATATGGATCAGAATACCTTTGTGAGAACTCTAGAGACCAACTGAGAAGCTACAGCACCCAGACCAACATAAAACCAGGAAAGGATTCCAGCAAAAGGGATAGGAGAATTCACAGAATTCTGTGTACCATCTGTGCCCATCCCCCTACCTGGGGGGGGGGGCATAGCATGGTGCAATCAGGAGGAAAAGTCCCATATGAGGCTCCTTCCTTGGGACAGAAACAAACGAGTGGACTGAGCAATGTTCTGGCTTATCTTGGGGCTCCCCTAGAGACTGGTTTCTGTTTCATCCAACTTGGACCTCCTAGGGACTGGCAGTACGGTTTGGAAGCCAGTGGAAAGAGAGGCAAGGATATGGCATGTTAGAGTTCTGCAGAGAGCCCATGGGAGCAAGAGATTACTGGCCTTCAAGAAAACATAGGGGAAAGCTGCTTAGGGAATTTGAGACAGGTAAAAGCACACGCACAAGCCCAGAGAAGACACATCCCCAGAAGAGCTTTTAGAAGTCCTAGAATCTCTAGTTGGCTGATGGGTGAAGTCTTCAAAGCTAGTCCATAAAGATTGGGAGGGGGCCGGCCTGGTGGCGCAGTGGTTAAGTTCGCACGTTCCGCTTCTCAGTGGCCTGGGGTTCACTGGTTCGGATCCCGGGTGCGGACATGGCACCGCTTGACACACCATGCTGTGGTAGGCGTCCCACATATAAAGCAGAGGAAGATGGGCACGGATGTTAGCTCAGGGCCAGGCTTCCTCAGCAAAAAGAGGAGGACTGGCAGTAGTTAGCTGAGGGCTAATCTTCCTCAAAAAAAAAAAAAAAAAAGATTGGGAGAGGTGGTTGTTTTTTCAAATGCCCGAATCTCAACGAAAGATTACAAGGCATATCAAGAAACAGGGAAATATGGCCCATTCAAAGGAAGAAATAAACTTTGAAAAAGTGACACTGAAGAAATTCAGATCTATGAGTTGCTGGACAAAGAATTTAAAATAACTGTCAAAGAGATGCTCACTGAGCAAAAAGAAACACAGACAAGTAAACAAAATCAGGAAAATGATGAACAGACAAAAGAATATCAAAAAAAGAACTAAACAGAAATTCCAGAGCTGAAAATATACTAACTGCCCTGGCAAGTTCACTAGAGAGTTTCAACAGTAAACTTCATCAGGCAGAAGAAATAATCAGCAAACTCAAAGACAAGTCATCTGAAATCATCAAGTTAGAGGAACAAAAAGAAAAAACGATGAAGAGAAGTGAAGAGAGCCTAAGGGACTTATGGGACACTAGTAAGCCAACCAACATAGACATTATGAGAGCCCCAAAAGGAGGAGAGAGAAGAAAAGGAGCAGAGAGAGCTTATTTGAAGAAATAATGGCTGAAAACTTCCAAGTCTGAAGAGAAAAATGGACATAAAAATTCTAGAAGCTCAATGTATTCCATCAGGATAAACTCAAAGAGACCGACACTAAGACACATTACAATCAAACTCAAAACTCAAAAACAAAGAGAGAGGGTCCAGCCTGGTGGCGCAGCAGTTAAGCGTGCACGTTCCGCTTCTCAGTGGCCCAGGGTTCGCCAGTGTGGATCCCGGGTGTGGACACGGCACCACTTGGCAAAAGCCATGCTGTGGTAGGCATCCCACATATAAAATGGAGGAAGATGGGCATGGATGTTAGCTCAGGGCCAGTCTTTCTCAGCAAAAAGAAGAAGATTGGCAGTAGTTAGCTCAGAGCTAATCTTCCTCAAAAAAAAAAAAAAAAAAAAAGAGAGAATCTTGAAAACATCAAGAGAAAGTGACTCATCACACACAAGGGAGCTTCCAGGAGATTATCAGCGGATATCTCAGCAGAAAGTGTGCAGGCCAGAAGGGAGTAGGATGATATATTCAAAGTGCTAAAAAGAAAAAAGCTGTCAACCAAGAATGTTATATAAGGCAAAACTCTCCTTCACAGCAAAAGCTGAGGGAGTCATTACCACTAGACCTGCTCTACTAGACCTGCTAAAGGGGTCCTTCAAGTTGAAACAAAAGGATGCTGGACAACAATAGGAAACCATATGAAAATATAAAATGGTAAAGGTAAATACACAGACAAATAATAAACCTGTATTATTGTAATTTTGGTGCATAAATTTATTTATAGAACTAAAATAATAAAAATATAAAAAGTACTATAAGCCTGTTAATAGGTATACAATACATAATGATGTAATTTGTGACATCAATAACATATGGGGGGGTGGAGCTGTAAAAGAGAAGAGTTTTTGTATGCAATTGAAGTTAAATTGTTATCAGTTTAAAATACAATGTTTTCTGCCAGGCCTACCCTATACACATCTCCCTGGCATCCTCTGCAGCCAAGAGCTGCAGTGGCTGTCGCTGTCCCCCGACCTCACCTCCCTCTGGGTCCACCAACCTATTTTAGTTCTTCCCTTCCCCAGAGGCATCTCTTCCTGGCCTCAGGTCTGTATTTTAAAATGACCAAAGTGAAATAGCCTTCCTGAGAAAAACAAAAAATAAAATAAAATAGAATGTTATAACTAAGATGTTTCATGTACAGACATTCCTCAGAAATACTGTGGGTTCAGTTCCAGACCACTGCAATAAAGTGAGTATCTCAAAGCAAGTCACACCAATTTTTTGGTTTCCCACTGCATATAAAAGTTATGTTTACACTATACTGTAACCTATTAAGTGTGCAATAGCATTATGTCTAAAAAAAAGTACATACCTTAATTAAAAAATACTTTATTGCTAAAAAATGCTAACCATCATCTGAGCCTTCTGTGAATTATAATCTTTTTGCTGGTGGAGGGCCTTGTAAAAAATGCAATATCTGCAAAGCACAATAAAGCGAAGTACAATAAAGCGAGGTATGCCTGTAACTGCAATGGTAAACACACAAAAACCCCACAGAATATACACAAAAGGAAATGAATCACAAAAGGGAATCAAACCATGTCACTACAAAAAAATCAATAAAACACAAAAGAAGGCAGTAAGAGGAAAAGAGAGACAAAAAAGCTTTAAGATAACAGAAAACAATTAACAAAATGGAAATAGTAAGTCCTTACCTATCAATAATAACTTTAAATAGAAATGGATTTAGTCCACCAATTAAAAGACACAGTTTGACTAAATGGATAAAAAAACAAAATCCAACAATATGCTGTCCACAGGAGACTCACTTTATATCTAAGGACACACACAGGCTGAAAGTGAAAGAATAGAAAAAGATATTCCAGGTAAATCAAACTGAAAAGAGAGCAGGGGTGACTATCCTAATATGAGACAAATAGACTTTAAATCAGAAACTGTTATAAGAAACAAAGGTCATTATATCATTAAAGGGTAAATTTATGAAGAAGGTATAACAATTATAAATATTTGGATTATAAATATATGGATTAAAGCCCTAAACATAAGACCCAAAACTAAAACTCCTAGAAGAAAATGGGAAAAGGTTCATGACACTGGATTTGGCAATGATTTCCTGGATATGGCACCAAAAGCACAGTCAACAAAAGGAAAGATTAGACAAATGGCACTGTATCAATCTTAAAAACTTTTGTGAATCAAAGGATACTCTGAACAGAGCGAAGAAGCAACCTATGGAATGGGAGAAAATATTTGCAAATCATATATCTGATCATGGATTCGTATCCAGAATATAAAAAGAAAGAACTCCAACAACTCAACAACAAAAAATCAAGTAACTTGATTTAAAAATGGGGAAAGGACTCGTGCAAAATTTCTCCAAAGAAGATATAAAATGGCTAACAAGCATGAAAAGATGCTCAACATTACTAGTCATCAGAGAAATGCAAATCAAAGCCACAATGAGAGATCACCTCATATCCATCAGGATGGCTACTATCAAAAACAGAAACAAAAAATAACAAGTGTTGGTGAAAATATGGAGCAACTGGAACACTTGTGCACTGTTGATGGGATTATAATATGGTGCAGCCACTACAATAAACAGTATAGCATTTCCTCAAAGAACTAAAAATAGAACTACCATAGGATCCAGTATTCCCACTTCTGGACATATATACAAAAGAACTGAAAGCAAGGTCTCAAAGAGATATTTGCACACCCATGTTCATAGCAGCACTATTCACAATAGCCAAGAGGTGGAAGTAACCCAAATGTCCATCAATGGATGAACAGAAAAACAAAATGTGGTATACACAGACAACGGAATATCATTTAGCCTTAAAAGAGAAGGAAGTTCTGTCACATGCTACATGAATGAACTTTGAGCACATTATGCTAAATGAAATAAGCCAGTTATAAAAAGACAAATACTGTATGATTCTACTTATATGAGGTATTTAGAGTAGTCAAATTCAAAGAAACAGAAAGTAGAATGGTGGTTACCACGAGCTGGTGAAAGGAGGGAAAAAGAGGGTTATTGTTTATTAAGATACAGAGTTTCAGATTTGTAAGATGAAAAATTTCTGGAAATCTGTTTCACACAATGTAAATATACTTAATAATACTGAACTGTACACTTAAAAATGGGTAAGATGGTAAATTTCATATTATGTGTTTTTTACAACAGTAAAAAAAATGTGGTACATCCTCACAATAAAGTACCTTGCAGCTGTAAAATGGGAACAGAAAATGTTGCTGTATAATGCTATCGAGTGATCTCCAGGATGTACACTTAAGTGAGAAGAGCAAAGTGAAGAAGTGTGTAAGGTATTCTACCTTCAAATGTGGGGGATGTGCATACAAATATGTAAACATGTGTCCCTATATTTTTTTAAATGATGAACAAAACTGAGAAAAATTCTTAATGGTTTTCTATGGGGAAGGGAGGAAATGGGTGGAGGGGTTAGGGATAGAAGCTAGACTTCTCTGAATACACCTTGCTTGGTAGATTTGACTCTGGACCATGTAAATGTTTCACATAATTATAAAACAAAATTAAATGTGAAGAAAAACAGTCCCTAAAAATGCAACATGGAACACACGAACATTTTTAAATTAGGGGGAATCACTTTAAAAGAAACCAAAATATATCAATCAAGTGCCCATACAGGACTTGTTTGGATTCTGTCAAAAAAAAAATTTGTTTTAAATCTTTGAAATTTGAATATTAGCTGAATAACAGGTAATTTTAGAGATTTACTATTAAATTTTTTGGGTGTGATAACAGTATTTTACCTATTTTTTAAAAAGAGTCCTTACTTTTTAGAGATACGCCCGAAAATATCTCATAGATCAAATGATATGAACTTGGAATGAAATGACATGTTGGGATTTGTTTCAAAATAACCTGGGAGACTGTAGGTAGAAAGGGGAGTAGGGAAAAGGGTATATGAAATAAAAAGTTTTTAAATGTTAAAGCAGGTGATGGGTATAGGGAGATTCATTACTACTTTCTATTTTCCACTGATAAAAATTTTTATTTTAAATCCTATGATTCATGAATTTCTTAGTTGTCTCTTCAAGCTGATTATCATGGAATGTAAAACAATTATGATTTGTTGGAAAACATACCTAAAAATGAAGTACAGTACATTACCTTTGTAAAAGTGACAGGGATGCTGGCATCCAATTGAATGTGATCTGCAACCTCTGTAAACTGCTGCTGCTGTTTTTGCAATGTTTCCAGTAACCTTGTAATTTCTTGTTTTGCCAAGACAACTCTACAATCATCCTAGAAAAGAGAAGACAGTATGTCTTGTGAACTCAGTAGAGAAATAAGGGAAAAAAGAGATATCACCAAAACTCAAGAAAAGCTCATTGAGCCTTGTAATATTCAAAGTTAACTTAAATATAATTTGACTAGGATAATAATAACTGGGCATTAATAGACAATTTAAGAGCCCATCAACAGAAGAATAAATAAGTAAATTATGGTATATTCACAAACGCAACAGTATACCACAAGGAAAATGAACCACAATTACATGTGATAATATGAACTTCACAAACATAATGTAGAGGAAAAGAAGAAATGACATGAAAAATTCATACTGTATGATTCCATTTATATTAATTACCAAAACAGGCAAAAATAAGGTATGCATTAGAAGCCAGAATAGTAATTTATCCTTAGAGGGGAAGGCAAGTAGTTATTAAAAGGAGTCTGAGGGGTTTCTGGGGTGCTGGTAAAGTTCTGTTACTTGATCTGGGTGCCAGTCACACAGCAATGTCTAGTCTGCAAATTCAGCCAGCTGAACACTTACACACTCATTTCTGTATGTATGTTATACTTCTAAGAGAAGTTTTTAAAATAATTTAAGATATACACGCATTGGTTTAAAAAAAAGGGGACTAAAGGTCAAACTGTGAAAGAGCCCCAGGCCCTCTCCTCCAAGCCAAGCACTCTACAGTTTCTCAAATATTATTTCAGAGATATTCTATACGTATACCAATATATTCTTCCTAAGAGAGATCTCCCAACAATATGTAAGCTCCATGAGAGCAGTGGTGTTGTTGGATTTTGCTCACTGTTGCACATTATTAGTTGATAGAAATTCCATTGTTGCAGTTGCTCAGAACAAAAACCTTGAAGTCATTCTTGCCTTCTCCTCCCTCATGCCCCACATGCAATCTATCAACAAATCCTATTGGATACCCAGAATCTGAACACTTCTAACCCCCACTATCCAAGCACTATTCTCTCTCATTTGGAATTCTACAACAGCCTCCTAACAATTGAACTCCTTTCTTTCATCTTTGATTTCCTTTTCCTATTTTTTACACATCAGCCAGAGTAATCCTCTTAACAGGTAGGATCAAGTCATTCTTGTGCTCCAAACCCCACAATGGTTTCCCCATTTCAATCAGTAAAAGCTGAAGTCCTTCCAGTGACCCACAAGGGCTTCCTCACACATAATTCCTTATTAGCTCTGATTTTAGCTCCTTTTACTCTCTCCTTTGCTTTATCTATTCCAGCCACAGTGCCCTCTTTTACTGTTCCTCAAATACACCAGGATGCTGCCCTAAGGTTTTTGCCCTAACCGTTTCCTCAGCTGGAATGTTCTTTCCCCCATTAGGGCTTGAACTAATTCCTTCACCTTCTTCTCCTTTGAGTCTTTGCTCAGATCTCACCTTTTCTCAATGATGCTCACCCTGACTAATAATGCAATCTGCTATACCCACACATGTTTTCTTTTTTCCTTAGCTCTTATCACTTAAACATAGTATAAAATTTACTTATTCAGATATGGTTATAGTTTACTGTCTGTCTTCTCCTTGCTAGAATGCTAATTCCAGGGGCCAGCCCCATGGCCAAGTGGTTAAGTTCATGCACTCCACTTTGGCTAGCCAGGGTTTCGCCAGTTCAGATCCTGGGCACAGACATGGCACCACTCATCAAGCCATGCTGAGGTGGCATCCCACATAGCACAACCAGAAGGACCTATAACTAGAATAAACAACTATGTACTGGGGGGGCTTTGGGGAGAAGAAGAAGAAAAAGAAGACTGGCAACAGATGTTAACTCAGGTGCCGATCTTTAAAACAAAACAAAACAAGAATGCTAATTCCAAAGATTATGGCTTTGTTTTGTTTACTGATATATCCCATGTACCTAGAATGTATACAGCACATAGGCATTCAGTACACATTTGCTAAAGGAATAAACAAGTCCTCACCATTCAGCAGCATGCCTTCAACTTAGATGATGCATCAGTTTTTTGGAGGGGAGAGATGATTAAGTTTTGTTCTCAAAATTGGTAATAAATGTATGGATGTTTCATCCATTCCTTTGTTCAATTACCTCTGTGGCAAGAACTTTTAAGAATATTGGTTGGAGTGAGGGTTCTATGGCCATAAATCAGAACAAAACTAATAGGTCCATATGAAAAATGAATCTAAGACCCCAATTTTAATTGCTTTACCATAGTGAGACAATACCATATCATTAACAATTATCATCACTTTGACAAAACACTTCAGAAACTCTAAAATACTTCTAAATATCTCAGTAACTACAGACATACCTTTTTTTTTTTTTGGTGAGGAAGCTTAGCCCTGAGCTAACATCTGTTGCCAATCTTCCTCTTTCTTGTCTGAGGAAGATTAGCCGTGAGCTAACATCTATGCCAATCTTCCTCTGTTTTGTATGTGGGTCCCTGCCACAACATGGGTGATGAGTGGTGTAGGTCCATGCTGGGGATCCAAACCTGAGCCACCAAAGCAGAGCATGCCAAACTTAACCACTACACCACAGGGCCAGCCCCACAAACATACTTTTTAATAAAATTAATGTAAAAATACTTTGAAGTATTTTAGGACATGAATCCATTTCTGACTTTGCTCTGTAGCTTGATTACCCATCATGAACTGAACAAGTATTTATTAAGCTCTTTCTAGCCAGATACAAAGAATTTAGAGATACAAAGATGAACAAGATGTATCCAGTCAACATCTAGAAGGACAAATATGCATACTGAATCATATTGCAATCAGAAGACAAAAACCATACCAGTTATCAGAATAGAGAGAACTTAATAGGAAGACCTGTTAACTAGGTGTAGTTATTAACCAGGTAACTAAAAAGGTAAAAGAAAAACCTCTGAGGTAACATGGAGGAAGCAACTGTAGGAAACAGCTACCACCCCCAGAGCCGGAGGAATAAAAGGGAGATGCTGGAATTACAAAAACTTAGAAACTTACAGGAGGGACCCCACAGAGCTGAAACTCAGATTCGGAGGAAAGCAGTCTCCTCTTGTGAGGGGCAACAGTCACAGGAACCCCAAGCAAATGGGAACCCACAGGAAACCACTTCAGCTTTCCAGACTCCCTCTGATGTCCCCTCTATTGGCAGAGCCTAAACTAACATGGAGCCGGCTGGCAAAGCAGATATGATTTGTAGAGTTCCAGTCCCAGCATCACAAAGCAGAGGACAGAAGAATAGGATTGGAGCTCAAAGATAACTTAATAAATGGCATACACATCAATTATTACAATTCAAGGGGATAAGGACTAAACAAGAGCTCAAGACTGCTGTGGTTACAGCCTGGCCTCATTCATCTAAGTCTAATCAGATATTTGATTCAGGGGAAAAAGCTCTACAATGGTAAAGAGTTTAGCTTAGCTCTACAATGCTTCGAAATCAACACAATTATTAGCAATTTATCAGTAAAGATACGATAGACTGCAGTTTATTGGGAATTCCTAGGGCAATAATTAGCCTTACATCGCCCACTCATGAAAACAGATCCAAAACAGAAATGAGTGAGATTGTCATTTTTGTTAGAATAACCTTAAATCTACTTTATTTTAAAAGTACATTCCTGCAAACTGGGTAACAAATTGCTTATGATACCTCAGCCATTAAAAAACATAGGTTTGCTGTAACATGGAAGTTAAGAACCACTGAATTAGGGCAGAGATAGGTAGTACATGCTAGAGAGGCACCCAAAAGAAAAGCAAGAAAGAGAGAGCTTCAAAGAACAGCAAACATTTGAGCTAGACTTTGAAGAAGGATTTCCACTATCAGAAAAGGGAGATGAGCCCACCAAGCAAACAGAATAGTACATGCTTGGCAAAGGAGAGTTAAAGGCTTTGGCATGACTGAAGAATGACAAGAAGTTAGAGAGGTTCTAGAACCCATGGCTTTATGGTGAGGAGGGCATATGAAGGGAAGGACGCTGATACGGTTGGCAGCACAATTTGAGGTTAGAGCCCTCATGTCCTAAGCACAATATGAATGCACGCAGTAACAATGGTAGCAATAGAAACTTATTGATTAAATTAAGAAAATAGACTAGTGTGTACCTCTGGTAATTATCTACTTAACCCTATGAATTCTCCTTCTTAAACTACGTCTCAACCATGTTTAAACTACCAACCTGTTGCAAAGTCTTTTCACAATGGAGACAGGCTGTTGAAACCTGGGACAACAAAATAGTCATATCTTCTTGTTGCTGCCTGAGCCAAATCAGTTTTTCTCGAACATGAGCATCCACAACACTTAGGGCCATTTCTTCTTGGCGACACAGAGTTTCATGCAGATCAGAAAAATAAGCTCGGACACATGACCGGGCATTCTCTGCAGTACCTGGTACCTACAAGAAGAAGTTTTAAACAACGGTAACGTTAACAAAGACTTTATATGTGAAATAATAAAAATTTAAATACCACCTATATCCTTAAAAATTAAAAAATTTGTATCTCGACACTGGATCTTTCCCTTTAACCACAGCCTTTAGATACTCCAACTGTTTAAACGACATCTCAAGCAAATGGAATACCTTACCTCCAGTCTCTCCCACCCCCAAACCTAGTTTCCTCCATCTCAGTAAATGGCAACTCCCTCCTCCAGGTTGTTAAAGACAAAATAATTGGAGTCACCCTTAACACTTCTCTTTCTTATCCCACAACTAGTTGCTCAGAAAATTCTGCTGACTTCAAAATAGATCCAGAATCTGATCATGCCTCACCACCTCCACCTCTACCAACCTGATCCAAGCTATTATCATCTCTCATCCAATTATTATAATAGTCTTCTGATTCGTCTCACTAGATCTACTGCTGCCCCAACAATGTACTCTCCAGCCAGCAGCCAGACTGATCCTTTTTAAAGGTTAAGTCAGGAAGATAAGTATTCTTTTGCTCAAAATTCTTCAGCAGTTTCTCATTCCACACAGAGTAAATGCCAAAGTCCTTTATATGGGGAGTTCAAGGACAGACTCCCTGAGAAAGGGACATCTGAGGGAGGACCTGAAGGAGGTAAGAGAGGGAACCACGCGAATATCTTCAAGAGCATTCCTGGAAAAAAGAAGAGCAAGTGCCTCTAAGGCCCTCTCTGACCTCAACTCCTGCCTGCTCCCCCTCGATCACTCTACTCTAGCCACTCAGCCTCCTCACAGTTTCTTAAGCACACCAGGCACACTCCTACCGCAGAACCTCTGTACTTGCCCTTCTCTCTGCCTGGAACACTCTTCACCCCAAAAATAGTATGGCTCCCTTTCTCATCTCCTTTAGGTCTTTGCTCAGTGTCCCCTTCTCAGGAAGTCTGCCCCTGAACACCCCATATAAAAGTGCACTCCACCTTTCCCTTGTTTTTCTCCAAAGCACCTAACGTACTTCTCCCATAAGTGTTTTCCTTGCTTATTCTCTCTTCACAGTAGAAAGTAAACCCTGCAAAGGCGGAGCTTTTTGACTTGTACAGTGGTGTCTCCTCAGCTAGGACAGTGTCTAGCACTTGGTATGTGTTCAATAAATATTTGCTGACGGAATGAATAAAGTATTTCCACTCTAGCACAACAATGTCCAAGAGAACTTTCTATGAAAATGGACATGTTCTATATCTGCGCTGTCCAATATGGTAGCCACTAGCTACATGTACTTGAAATGTGGCTAGTGGGACTGAGGGACCAAATTTTGTATTTTATTTAATTTTTAACTAAGTTAAACTTCAATAGTCACATGTGGCTAATGGCTACTATATTTGACAGAGCAGTTCTAACATTATTCCTCAATGACTTAGTTTTAAATTTGTGTGATTACCAAAGAAAAATATCACGTTTTGTCTGCATTTTGTCATTGCACTTATATTCTCATCTGAAAAGATTCCTTTCTCCTCTATAATTCAATTTTAAAAAGCAACTACAACTATCACCTTACTTCCTTCCTTCTCTTCACAGCCCAACTTCCTAAAAGTTAGACACACTCATTTCCCAACACCCACTTACTCTTCAATTCACTGGAGCCTATCTCCCCTTGATAATTTCATAGAAATAATAAATTCAACATCCAAATTAAACTTATAACCTTGGTGCCATTATCCCCTCCCAAAATTCTTCTTCCTCCCCTATTAGTACTTGATACCACCATCCACCCAGTTAGGCAAAGCAGATACCTAGGCCTAATGCCTGGCCCTCTAAGTTAGCTATCCAATCAATATTATCAATCAATCACTAAGACCTACCTATTCTACTTTAATATCTTAAATCCATCTACTTCTCTCGATTCTCACTACTCTAGTATTACAGGCCATATACATCTCTCAACTGGATAATTTCAGCAACCTCCTAATAGGTCTCCCTGCTTCCAGTCTTGTTGCTCCTGCAATTCATTTTCTACACTGAAGGGCAACCTTTCTTAATGCAAATATGATTATGTTATTCCTATGCCAATTCGTCAATGTCTCATCACTGCCCTTAAGACAATGTCCAAACCCTTTAACATGGCTAACAAAATCCTGCATGATGTGGCCCTTAACTCTCCAACCTCCTTTCTTACCATGCCCCACCCAATACCCAAAGCTTCAACCATAGTGAACTTACTTAAGTTTCCACCTTATGTCCAGTTCTCACTTGCAGACATTTTAACAGACACTTCCCTCTCTGGAATAACTCACTCCTTACCCTACTCTTCCCCCTGACTAAACTGCTTCAAATCTCAGTTTAGTTATCACATCTTCTAAGAAGCCTTCCCTGATTCACCTAAATTATTGCCCCTTTTATAGACTGCCACGGCATCCTGTACTTCCCCCACAAAATAAACCATTACCACACTTGAAAATCTCTCTTCCAGGATAGATCATAAATTCCATGAAGTCAGAGACTTTTTTAAAAAATTTATTTCCAGTGACTAGCAGTACTGGCACATTGTAATTGCTCAATAAACACTAGAAGGCAAAAAGATTAGATGGAAAAAGGTAAGAAGGTAAAGAAGGAAAAAAAAAATCCATACATGCTCTGTGTGGGCCATTCCAATTCCATCTTCCACTATTTGTTCTCCTCCTTCAATGTGCTGAACAATCCCAACTAATTTTCTGGAATAATCTGAGATTTCCTCAGTGAAGGTCCGTATGCAGTGAGCCATATCTAAAATTGATGCTCGGATCTGGTTAGCTTCTGGTTCCAATACTGAATGCTATAAAATGCAACATAATTATAGAAAAGAACTCAATATTGACTAATGATATAAAAAGCTATTCAAATCGCCATTAATAAAAAAATCAGTCACAAGTGGCTTTATAAACATTTACAAAAAGCACAGCATAAGAAATACTAATTTGCCTTCACCCCAAAACTATTTATCCTGCAAAGAAATAATTTAAAATTTGAAAATCCATTTATTAATAAACAAGAATCCAAGCAACTTGAAAATTTTATTATAAACAGTAGTTTATCAGTAGATATAAATATTGTCAAAACAATCCAGTGCATTATGAAAACATGCACACAAAGAAGAGAACTTCTGTTTTCTGCTAGAAAGCCGTTGTTCAGTAAAGAAAGAATCAGGATGCAGCTCTGAAATTTTTATTACAACATTCAGAAATTAAATCTCTTGTTTCTTTACAGGCTACCAAGCTCAAGTCATTCATCACTTAACTCTGCTTCAATCCCTACTTCTAACATAAAGACCCAGGTCAGCGAAAACAAATGGTGGGCTGGTAAACTAAGTAGCGTCATCCAGGTTAATTATACTCATACCTTGTGACCTTGGTGCTTTCCATATTCTTTGCAGACACAGCACATAAGTGGGCTAGTTTGACAGCCTTCTTCCAAGCAAACAAACTCAATGGCATGCACCTGATGCTGAGAGCACATGGTTTTCTCATGAGGTTTATCAGCTAGAGGCACTCGCCTGTGCTTTGCTAATGTCTTTGTAGAATGAGTAACTTGGGAACACTCTGAGCACAGGTGAGTTGCACATACAGTGCAATATACAGATGCAACGTGAGCTTCATCTTCATCACAACGAATGATGCTCTGATAAATAAAAAATTAATGTCTTAAAACTGAATCATTATAGTGAATCATTACATGAATCTAATCAGTATAACATGACAAATTTTGAAATATAAAAGCCCATAATCTTTTTTTTTAACTGATCAGTCTTTATATATGAAAATATACTGGTAATTAAGTACAAAGGTCATCCATTACTCATCTGAAGACAGTATTCATTTCTATGGATAAGTGAGAAGCTATTTCCAAAACCGACTATCAATATATGCTTCAAATTTGAGGCCAAAAATAAAACTAACCTCATAGTTTACAGTCAGTGCAAAGATATCTTCCACAAAATTCCCTCACTTTACACACAAGGAACTGAACAACAGAAGTCTTTTTTTAAGACTAAAAACACTGATATTAAATACATCCCCACTGCTTAAAATATTACTTGTCACGATGATGTCTAGGAAGAGAAGAAGCACAAATGCTATTTAGATAACCAGGGGTGTGCATCAGTGTGAAGCTTTTAAAAACACAGATGCCCAGACTCCAACCTGGGAAATACTTATTTCAATAGGTTGTAAATGAAGCCTGAGTTTGTGTATTTATTCCTAAAGCTCCACAGGTGAGTCCATTGCATAATCCTAGTTGAAAACCACTGATTCAGGCAAATAAAAAAAAACCTCTATGATATGCAAGCTTTTAAATATTGTTTCTAATTTTCATGAATCACCAAAAAGCATTTCAAGTTTGAAAATTTTACCTGTCAGGTAATCAAGAATGCTTTGAAAACTTTTGCTGAATATTCAAAGGCAATAATTAGATTTGGTATAAATTTTTCCAGAAAAAAAAATTAGAAAATACATCAATGGTATCATTCAATATCACATTAAAAAAAAAAGAATCTAAAGGTAAACAGTTTTGTTTGCAATTATGAGAAATGTGTACCTGTAAAATAAAAATTCAAGTCTTCTGTTTTCTAGAACTGACCAATAATTTACAAGGTCAACATTAGTTAATATTTTAGTGTCTTTTGAAATAAGGATGAAAGATATAGCAAGTGAAAGAACTGCAAAAACTCAAGAAAACAGTGCTTCAGTCTGAAATTCACTTCAATGATGCACTTTATATAAAGAAATCATGATCTAATAAAAGAGAAGTAGAAATCAACCTGACATTTTTTTCCCTTGATACTAAACATGTGGTTTTAAGTTGATCACAAAAATCACTAACTGTTATTTACTACAACTATTCTTATATCCAGAACCTATGAGCTATGCAGACAATCCTTTAAGCGTTAAAAATGTATTTTCAGGGCCGGCCCAGTGGAGTAGCAGTTAAGTTCGTGCACTCTGCTTCGGCGCCCCAGGGTTCACCGGTTTGGATCCCAGGTGTGGACCTGCACACCACTTTAAAGCCATGCAGTGGCAAGTGTCCCGCATATAAAGTAGAGGAAGATGGGCACAGATGTTAGCTCAGGGCCAATCTTTCTCAAAAAAAAAAAAAACGTGTATTTTAACCTAGGTTAATGGACTTCTTTCTAACATTCACTAGACATTTGCCTGTCTGGATAAAGAGAGTACATCTACACATAATTTAACCTTTCCATGAAGATATTTAATAATAGTAAGACCCTCAGAAGCTGCTGCTATCTACACTAAATGGCCTCTTCATGGAGTTCCTTTCTTTGTGCTTTACTGTTGACTGATTCACTTTCCCATCCTCTGCTTTAATGTAGCTTACACATCCTTCTTACTCTTCCATAATCTTTTACTCTTTCACTTTATCCCTGGACAGAACTGAATTATGCTAAGGAGACAAGTTTTTGCACACAAACATAGTTTGGGTATAGTATTTTCAGAGAATTCAAGTTTCAGTTTTACTTCCGTTGGGAATACTGTTGTCTTCAGAATTGTAATGTAATGAAAAGATGTGTTTCTGGAATCCTACCTGCTGGAGTAGGTGAGTTAATATTGTGCTTTTAATGGCAAGTATTTTAAATTAAAAGAAAAAGCTCATGCTTGTAACAAATATTTCACCAAGTTCAATCAGTACCTCTCCAGATATCCCGATGGCTTCTTCTGCAGCTCCATACTGACCAATATGTCCATTCTGCAGTCGCTCCAACAGCTCCAATAAAGCAAAATTTTTTTTCAATCCCCAGACACCTGAATCACCTAAAATATAAAAATAAAAATAAATCTAACAAAATGGAATATTAATCATTTTACCTCATATCTCAACCGCAATTTCTAAGTTATATAGTTTAGTCACTAATGTCTAAACTTTAAAAATTCAAATATTCCCCATTTTTTTTATGCTAAAACAATTGTCTTGTTAATATTCTCTTTATAAAGTGAACTCCTCAGCATTCTAAGTAGAATATATTTTAAAGTTCTATTATTTTCCTATCATTTAACTTTATAAATTCTATTTTGTCACTGACTTTTACTATACATACTAAAATAAGTGCTTTGAAATATTTTTTTACAGCAACCTATAGTAAGAAATACATTTTGCATTACAACCCAGAATAACATATATAGTATATATACATATAATTGAAACAAGTTTCACACACCAATATTCACCTTTACAGTATGTAATACACTCTGATATTTTTTATTCTATTTTCTTTCTTTTTAAAAAGTTCTGTTCACAACTAATTAAACTGATTTCATAACCACAAATAAGCTATCACTCATGTTTGAACACCACTGTATGAAAGGTACACTTAACCTAAAATAACTCCATCTCTAAGTAAACTGGAACCAGAACAGCTAAAGGTAATATTTTTCCCCATCCCTCATCTAACTTCGAACCCTATAGCAGTCAATGACTATAAAAACTCCCCATGCAAATAGACAGAGCCTCACATCAAAGCAAGACAACAATCCCTTGGAGGCAGATAAGACTCTAGGCACAAGTGAATAAGGACCAATGCTTCTTTCCCCGAGAACTGACCACAAAAGGTCAAATGAGCATGCATATGCGCATGTGTGCATGTGCACATGCACACAAAAACACACAAACTCTTCCTGGGCCTATAAATAAAAGCCAGATGCTTCAGCAGTTAGAAGAAATATCTGTCTGTTATGGTAAGCTTCTATGCAACAAATATCATCCAACACATAGCTGCTGCCTAATACATATTTACTGAATGAATAAATAAACAAAAGGATCATGGGGTCATTGGCTGCAGGGCTCTCCTTGCTCTTGGCCCTCCTTTTCTTTAAAAAAAGAAAAAGAAAAAAAAAGAAACCATCTCTCATTGTGGTTCTCCAAAAAATTTTAAACTAGGCTAAATATCTTTAGCCTCCTCTCTGACCTCTGCGACCTCCTTTCCCACGTACCTTCATGCAGCCACCCAGTATTTCGCCCTCAGCCTTGCCACCGCCACAAGCCTTTCTCCTTGTTTTAAATTTTCATACATATTCTACCACAAGCTGAGTTCTATCTACTCCCTTTATATAAAGATTAAGAAGTATACTGAGTCCTTTATTTAAAAATATTGTCTTGACAATTTTCCAAATACTGTCATTATATAACGAACACATACACATAAACTCCTAGCAGCATGTACGCAGTATCTATCTACTGCCTCGTATATCCCTTCATACTTCTGTAAGTGTCAAAATACCTCTAAAATCTCAATGGCTTAAAAAAACATGATTTACTTTTTGCTCTTGCAACAAGAGAGATTCTGTCCCCTACTGTCTATCCAAGATGAGTGACACAGGCCACTGAACCTCCAACCACCTCGACCATCTCACTGTAGCAAAGAGGATTTACTGCAAAGCTTCATAAATCCCCTCTTAACAGCTTGTACCTGGAAGTTAACACTTCACATCTACTCCCATTTTACTAGTTAAAAAGAAATCACACAGCCATACCTAACTATAAGAGGGCAGAGAAGTGTAATTGTACCCTGCGGACAGAAGCGAAGAACCACAAATATCACCGAACAGTACTAATAACTACCACATATGACTACTGATATTCTTCTTGGACTAGAGAAGAATTTTGTTCCTAATTCTCTCAACAGTCTTCTTCTCTAGAAGGAGGAATTGGAAATTATTTTTTTCTTCTTTATACTTTTATAAATTTTCGTATTTTCTGCAAAGTATATATACATTATTTCTATAATACAATTAAAAACAGATTTTCTAAAAAAAAATAATGACATCAAACTATATAAGGGTCACTAACAGAAACTGCATAAGGCTGGAATCACAGTAAAAGTCTAACCTACAAGCTATAGTAATAGTAATTAGAATCTATATCCATGGCAGAGTTGTTGGTTTATTTTTTCTAATGTTCATATGATAACAATCATGTTTGATTTCAACCTAAGACATGACTAACCACTCCCTGTCACAAATTTCTAGTTTAGTTACACATTAGGGTGGTAACAACCCACACCGTGGTATTTATGTAAGGAAGGTAGAGTGCCCTTCAAAAAGATGGAAGGAAGGGTCTATCCTCCATTTGTAAAATATTATTTCTATACAGATTTATATGAAGATGGTATGATACATACATATATATATCTCACAGAATAAAAGACCAAATAAGAGAATGTCAAAATAGAGACATCTTCCCCCTCCACCCTTATTATTTCTTGGCTAATAGCAAAGTAACATTATCTATGTTAATGCTAACACTGTCTTATATCAATTTTCTGGCAAAGGGGCATACTACTTACGTAAATCAAAGACTACCAAAACTTTAAGAAATCTATTCTTTCCCTATAAGAAAACACTTTAAGACCATACTTTTTAGATTTTTAAAGCTTTCCACTCTAAAAAGAAAGCCTGCTTTCTTTTTTTGATGGATGAATTATTTTGAATGTGTTCCACTTGACATACACTATGAATACATTAGAACAGCCTTAAAAAAAATAGTGCTACTAACCTGAAAAAAATGACAACCTTAAACTATTTACTTTGGAGAAAATTCTGTTATCAAAAAGAGTAAACTTAGATGGGGCTGGCCCCGTGGCCGAGTGGTTAAGTTGGCGTGCTCTGCTACAGGCGGCCCAGTGTTTCGTTGGTTCGAATCCTGGGCGCGGACATGGCACTGCTCATCAAACCACGCTGAGGCAGTGTCCCACATGCCACAACTAGAAGGACCCACAACTAAGAATATACAACTATGTACTGGGGGGCTTTGGGGAGAAAAAGGAAAAAAATAAAATCATTAAAAAAAAGAGTAAACTTAGAGAACTTACGTTATGTCTGTAAAATAACTGTTTAAATATTAATAAACATTATTATTTCCAATTCAGGTATTCCAAGGTAATAACTCATCTTGAAATATATAAAGCAAAGTTTTAAAAGTATGCAGGAAACTGAAAAAGAAATCCGTAAGACTTTCTGTAATTGTAACAGAAAACAAGGGGCAGTTATCTCAAGCTACAAACACTTCTGTCTCTGATATCAGTAAATAAAAACATGCCGAGACTCAAATTACTTATGTGTATTTTCATTACTGGCTTATTCATCTATAAAGGAAACACTGTTTTATTGGATTAATGGCGTCACGTAAACGAATTTTCTTATTTCTTTGAATAACGTTAGCATGTTTTTCTAAGCTGTCTTAAAGCTCTTCATATATAAGTACTGAATATAAACATCTAAAAAGATTAAATAAAATTAGTACCTAAAAGTGAGCTGGTTTATAGTTATGAGACTACCAGCCTTAATAGAAACTGAAACCACCTTGGAATTTTATAATTTTAAAAATCAAGTAGAAAGAAATTATTTCCTATGACATTTGTATTACGTGAACAATTTTAAATCTTAAATACATACGTATATATTTTCCTACCTAGGTCTGTTACTTGTCGATCAAAAGGGCAACGGATTGCTCTTCCATGAAGAGGCAGGCGGGTGAGACAGTCATGACAGACTGTGTGGCCACAAAGCAGAAGGCGAGGAACTTTATCTCCTTGCAAAGAAAAGACATCTTCACAAACTCCACACTCCAGCACCTAATATTTGGAAAGGGAACATGTGCTCTTTAAATGATTTTAAAAATATACATATTTTAGCTTAAAAAAAAAACCCTGATCTAATATATTGATCAATTTTGTTAAATTACTTTATTCCTCCATGAAAAAAACTGTCTAGGTTGTAAAACTGTAAATCGCCCTTTATCATTTCATCTGACAGGCACTACCAGAATTTTCATGGTGAAATCTCCTTGAAATGTTAAGTGTTAGGGACCAAGATAATGTTGCAAATTAACATCATATTTACGTTTTGAAATTATGACTCTTTCATTACATCTGAATCTGTAACAATACATAACTCTACTGAAGTTGGGTTCTTAATTTCTCTGCAATTACCTAATCTCCCCTAAACCATCATTAATGTAGACAAAAATAATTCGAAATATGTGCTAGGATGACAATTTACCCTTGTAAATGATAAAGAACTTGCTAAGAAAAGACTGTAACTAATTTTCAAGTATCTTCTAGTACCCATTTACCTCATATAATGCAAAGGCAAGAAAGCAATCACCTTAAATTTCAATTCCTTGTTCTCAATTAATAAATATGCCCTTGGGTTAGAAAATATTTTGTCTATCTTGTTCTAATTACAGGTACTTCACTTGCCAAAGGCTAGATAGTCAGTTAAAAGAAAGGAGACAAGAATCGGCATATTCTGATTCCCAGGCCCACAAGTTTGTTTTATAATTATTCAACAAACTATATTTATATCATTGAAGCATTTTCGGTACTTCCATTTCTTAACATATCCGAAGTGTTTCACAATTTTAATTAATTGATAAAAAACACCCACACTGAACTGTTCAACTGTCCCACTAACTCCTGTGCCTGCCATCCATGACCTGCTCCAATCCTGGCCTCTGTTGCTTCACTGCCACCTCTTTCAGACTCTGTTCTCCAACTATATCAAACAGCTTCTAGTTCCCAGAACATGACAAACTGTTTTTGCCTCTTTCTTTATGCTAATACTGAGGAAACAGTAAATAGACATTTTCCTAGTGGATCCTTTTTTTACATTAATAAACCAACTCCTAAACAACTGTCTCTCTCGGGTCTATCTACAGCTCACTCCAACCGAAATGACCACGCTATCCCTTGGGCCCCATGTACCATGGAAATGTGTCTATCTTAACACACAAAACACTTTAATACCGTATTGGCTTTCCATCTTGTCTTTCTCTACTAGACCAAAAAACCCTAAGGAACAGGGTATTCCAAATCCCAAGCACCTATGTGCTTATATAAAGTCGGACAAAATAAAAATTTAAAGACAGCTCAGCCAACCACCATCCCACAACAAATACACAATACAAGGTGAAAAAAGAAAAAAGAAAAGAAAACCAAGGGTGGAAACCAGACTTAATCTATTTACAATTGTTCCTTTTTTTTTTTTTGAGGAAGATCAGCCCTGAGCTAACATCCACTGCCCAACTTCCTCTTTTTGCTGAGGAAGGCTGGCCCTGAGCTAACATCCGTGCCCATCTTCCTCTACTTTATATGTGGGATGCCTGCCACAGCATGGCTTGACAAGCTGTGTGTAGGTCCACACCCTGGATCAGAACCAGGGAACCCCAGGCTGCTGAATCGGAATGTGTGAATTTAACTGCTGCGCCACTCCAGACTTAATCTATTTAAATTTTAATCTTAACTCTGCAATTAATTTGGATTTAGTGCTTGAAATGCAAACATCTTTTACTATAAATAAACTGATAATTTATTATTGGCTTGCATCCCAGTACGGTTCAAAAAAAGCATAAATGCAAAACACAATTCACAGAAAAGGTAATGAAAACAGCTCTTTAAATATATGAAAAGATATTCAACCTCACTCAAAACACTGAAATGCAATTAAAGCTACACTAATATACTTTTTCTCAGATTAGATCAAAAAGGCTGATAACACTTTGCGCTGGTGCAAGTGTGGGAGAGCAGATACACTCATTGCTGGTTGCTGTGAAATGTTTACTGACTGATGTAGCCTCTATGGAAGGCAATTCAGCAAAACCCATCAAAAGTCTGAATAGCTCAGTAATTCTACTTCAGGACTTTACCCTACAAATATATCACACATGTATGACAAGATGTGTATGTCATTCCTTACAGCACCATTTGCATTAGCAAAAGATTGGAAATAAAGTAAATATACATCAATACAAGACTGGAAAATACATTGTGGTACATTCATATACCACAAACTATGCAGTCTAGTGAGGAAGAGTTAGGAAGTTTTTTATGTACACACAAAATTATTTCACAGGAATAACGCAAAGTGAAAATGATATACAGAATATATTAACTTTTGCATAAAGGTGGGAAGAGAAAGAGAGCATCTATTTATTTATATATACATAGCATATAGGCATACTATCTTTCTGACAGGATACACAGGAAACTGATTACATTGGAATAGTGGTTCTCTACGAGGAAAGGAAACAGTTGGAGAACAGTTACACACAAATTATATATATTATACATTTCAATTTATCTTACATTTTTTAAACAGGCAGGAAAAAACTTTCACTTAAATATCCTCACTTAGGGGCCAGCCCAGTGGCACAGCAGTTAAGCGTGCACGTTCCACTTCAGCAGCCCTGGGTTCACTGGTTCTGATCCCGGGTACGGACATGGCACTGCTTGGCAAGCCACGCTGTGGTAGGCATCCCACATATAAAGCAGAGGAAGATGGGCACCAGTGTTAGCTCAGGGCCAGTCTTCCTCAGCAAAAACAGGAGAATTGGTAGTGGATGTTAGCTCAGGGCTAATCTTACACACACACAAAAAAAACATTATAAAAATGATGTTTAAAAAAATTATTTTTAAATATCAAATTCAAATACTTCAAATACAGAAGATATTCACAACAGAATTCGATATCATAAAATAAACGCATTTTCTATAAATGTTCTATTATGACACCGTAATATATTAAATTTGTGTATAACAAGAAATTCCAAAGAACCAAATTAAAATTTTACTTAGTTCATTCACGTCTTATATCTCTCTGATTCCATCATTGCACAAGAGGAAAGAACTTATGCTGCTACCATGGAATTTTTCAAAAAGCACTAGTAAAATTCCACTGATTAATAAACAAAACACCGGTCCAAAACTAAAGTTACTAGACTGTTTTGCATCAATTCAGTAAATAACAGAGTAAGAAATTCTTCCTTCAGCATTTATGAATAGGAATTGTGGCTAACAGCATAAGAAATTAAGTCCTAGATAGGAAAAAGGCTCTTAATTCTACAAACTTCACACATATGCCAAAAAAGCCTTCAAACCTATTACATGCAAATCAAATTTTAATAAACCAGCTCATATTTTAAAAAGACTTAGGAGGCTCACTATTCAAAAGAAACTTCCTTCTTTTTTTTTTAAAAGACTTTTTTAATTTTTCCTTTTTCTCCCCAAAGTCCCCTGGTACATAGTTGTGTATTTCTAGTTGTGGGTCCTTCTAGTTGTGGCATGTGGGATGCCACCTCAGCATGGCCTGATGAACAGTGCCATGTCCATGCCCAGGATCCAAAGCTGCAAAACCCTGGGCCACTGAAGCGGAGCGTGTGAACTTAACCACTCCGCCAGAGGGCGGCCCCCTGATTCCTTTTTGAATGTAAATAAACTCATAACATCAGATTTTTGTCTTTGTTTTCCCTAATGATAAAAACCCTGTTATTATCAACTTGTTCATTAAGCAAGAGGCCATTTTACATATTATTAGCATTATATACTTCAACTTTTACCTTCCAATGAATACTTCTTGCTTTCATCTCTGAAAATGACAATGAGATTTTGCCAAAAAGGACTATCTTATTGCATAGCTCAGGCATATTTTACATGTAAAGATGAAAATGAACAAAGTGAGCCTCTAATATATCAAACTCTGCGCTGTGACAAAATGGAGATATATCAGGCTTTGGTATATTTTTGAGGCAAACAGTAACAAAACTAGATACAGCAATATGTCCATTCCAATTACAACCTTTTTTTTTTTTTTTTTTTTTTTTTTTTTTACAAATTAGCACCTGAGCTAACATCTGTTGTCAATCTTTTTTTTCCTCTTCTTCTTTTCCCCAAAGCCCCGCAGTACATAGTTGGATATTCTGGTTATAGGTCCTTCTGGTTGTGCTATGTGGGACTCCACCTCAGCATGGCTTGATGAGTGGTGCCAGGTCCTCGCCCAGGATCTGAACCAGCAAAACCCCAGGCCACTGAAGCAGAGCGTGGGAACTTAAAACACTTGGCTGGCCCCAATGACAACTTAATTCAAGTTAATTCACAAAATAATCTTCAGGTATTCTCTTGGGAAAAGCACAATTCAATAAATAAAATCTCAACCATACAACACACCTAATAATAAGAGGGCTCTTCTGCATCTCAGATATGCTTTGTACCTTCAGAATAACCTCATTAATATATAAAAGTCAGATAAATCAACCACCACCAATACTAATGGATAACATAGTTGGTCAAGATCCTAAAAAAACTTCAGATACTATCTGCTCCAGCGATTCTCAACCCTGGTTGCACATTAAAATCACTTCTAGGAATGTAACAAATATGCTGACGTCAAGTTAATCAGAACTGAGAGAGGAGGAGTGCACCCGGTTTTTTTTTAAAGTCTGCAGTGATCCTAATATGAAGCCAGGAATGAGAATTACCAATCGCTCAAATTACAGATGATCCTGAAAGTTGTTTACTCTACAAACCACTGAGATCAGTTCTCCCTTTCAGATCTTTCCACATACAGACAGCGGAAGGGGAAAATGAATTCACCTATTTCAATTGATTTGTTTTTTAATAAATGCATTTTGGAGCGTTTACACATGGTAGAATTCCAAAGTTCAAGCAAAGGGCAATTCATATACCGTGGCGTTAATGCCCAGCTATGCTGCTGTTGGACATTTCTCAAGCCTTAACAGACTGTACTACCAAGAGAGGAGGGGGCAGATCAGCCAGTACTAGATGCCTGATTATTAGAAGTAGAACTACAGTAAAAGCAGACTTTAGAGCCAGTCAATTCTGGCTCTGCCACACAATCCGTTAACCTAAACCTGAGTTTCCTCACCTGTAAAATGGGAACTAACATCTACTTCATAAGTACGTATTAAGCTAAAATACCTAACACAGTACCTGGCGATAATAACGGCTCAATTTAATAAAAATGAGCTAATTAATGCCTGTTGAGCTTAACTAAAAGCGGAAGACCTGGGGAAAGATCAGCCCAGGTCACTCTCACAGGCCCATAAGCGACATTTCACAAGCGTCCCCGTTGGCGATGCCAAGCAGAGGACTGGCATGGATAAAAGACCAGGCAACTTCAGGCCAGCAGGGATGAAGGTCGCGGACGGGATGGCAAAGCTTATAAAGCCGACAGGGGCCCAGAAGCCGGCGCATACCGCCCAAAGCAGCCAGGGCCGCGGTGCTGCCGCCAGACCTCGGGGATGAAGCGAAGGGAGGCCGATGGTGGAGAACAGAGCACGCAAGGTCCCTCACCTTCACCACGGCCGTCCCTCGGCTGCCCTGACGACCACTGTCTAGTCCCGCTCCAGCCTTGTTTACAACCAGGGCAGCCATCCCAGGAGGAGCCGCGCCGCAGAAGCGGCCGTCCCGGGGTTCCACCGAGGGGCGGGGTTGAGCCACCTACCCAGAGGTCTCGGCGCTCGCCACTGGCACACAGGCGCAGTACGACGCGGGGCGCCGGTCGGCCGACCTCTTTGCTCCTCCTCCTGCCTGTCGCTAGCTGTTTGCGCAGCGTTACACATGGCGCTGTATTTTTATTGTTAAGAAGTCTGCAACTGATGGAAAGAATAAAGTTCAGGCAGGAGAAAAAAGATGGCACAAAACAGAAGTAAAGTTTCACGGTGAAACTCCCGCTCCAGTTACGATCTCTTCTCCCGATTTTAAAACGGAAGGGGCGAGGAGAGACTACATCTCCCCGCATGCAATGCGGTTTTGTATAAACTACAAATCCCAGCATGCCACATCGGTATCTTTTACTCTACAGTGTAGGTATTTACGAGGCCGGGTATTGTTACCAAGAAATGGTTTCTTGAAGTCGCGATGTGTGATTGTGGCTGGAAGATAGAGAGGTGTTTTATGTGTAGGGCTCTAAGCGGCAAGAGATGGCTGTGGTAGAAAGAAGCCGTTGGATCCGCAAAGGACGTGGGAAGAAGAAAATTTGAGGCACCACCGGCAAAGAGAAGCCGTCGGGTGCCTGTTTGACAGCCTGTCAAACCCGAACGTGCGCTTTTCTGTTTTCTTCCGGGCTGGGTTGAACCTCTTCAGCTTCCGTAGGCAGTGGGTCGGAAGTGCAGGTCAAAATGGAAGTGAATCCCCCCAAGCAGGAGCACCTGCTGGCTCTGAAAGGTAAACTTTTGCGAACCTGACTCCCCTTAATCTGTTTTCTCCTCTTCTCTCACTAATTCTCGAAGCCTTTGCCGCAAAGACCTGGCCTCTGGGATGTAGGCCTCGTCCTTCTTAAACACTGTCAGTGCTCGTCCTCCTGCTCTGTCCTGTGGCGCCAAGCGGGAGGAAGCAATTTCACCTCTTTGCCTTTTAGGTTTGAGAGCCTCCCACCAGAATGGAATAGATACCTGGTAAATCACTCACTCTGTTATATGCTGCTGCGATCACCAGGCAGATTTTAGCTGCAGAAGCTGACGTCCCCACCCGAACCCGGGGAGAGCTCTGTGAACCAAGATGATTTACGGCGGACATCTAAAGTGGTTTTCCTTTCTGTCTCTTGTCTCTTCATGTGGCACTGAGGAAGTGACCAGGCTTCAGCTTCATCTGTAAAATTGGCCTAGTATCGCGGCGTCAGCAGTGCCAAGGATTTAGGAATACGTAGTACTACAACATATAATTTAGGTTTGTTAAAACTTGCTACGCTTCAAAGTATTGTGTGCATGGGAAAATTCGTGTCAAGTTTCATTTTCTGTACATAGCAAACAATTTTGAGTAAATTTGATGGTTTAATTAGATCATTGTTTAGGGAAAACCAGCAGGGCAGAGTTTTTTTTAGAATTCCTTTCATTTTCTGAGAACCTTTTATTTGAAATACTTTTAGCTTTATTTCATCTGTTTTCTACTACCACATATGCACTTTTTATTTCTTGGATGCTGTACTTTGTGGTTACTAATACCTTCTTGGACTGAGCTGAGAAAATACTCAATAGACATTTGAATTCAGTTGAATGGCACTTACCTTCCTTGTGGCATCCGTTTTAAGGGACCATTATCCCCACCAGTTATGATGTAGGCATCAAACATTCCAGAAGCTCACCAGTCCCACTTGTAACATAAATTCATATACTGGTAGCTGGGGTTAACAAGACTGTCTCTGACTGTAGAACTAAGAAATTGCAATATTAAGTTATATAGCAATAGGACCTGGAAATTTAGCCTGAGCAAATGAACTGAACTGAAATGGGTTATTCCTAAAGAAAAAGAAAAAAAGGAACTGTCATGTTCTTTAATTCTCAATTCCAGTGATA